GCTGGAGGAGAAATGGAACTGCACGCAGATGAGCTGGCGGAATGAGGGGAATGACTGGAAGAATATTGCCATAGACACAGTACTGACTCACTGCGGAAGCTATGAATGGATGGGCTCGCTCTCTGAGGAGTGTGAAGACCAGAGATGCTGGGGTAGATCACAATTTGGGTGTGGGAAGAAATGACAGCAAAGGAAAGAGGAGGAGGTTCAGGGAGGCAGACGGAGAACCAGATGAGAGAATGAAGGCCAAAGACAAAGGGCCTTAGCATTGACAAGGCGATGGGGTTGAGGAGAAAGGAGTATATTTGTTATCTATTGTTGCATAACAAATTAACACGAATATCAGTGGCTTAAACAACAATTATCTTACAGTTTCTGCGTGTCAGGAATCTGTGGGTGGCTTAGTAGGGTTCTATGGGTCAGGGTTTCTCACATGCTGCAGTCAAGGTGTCTGGCTACAGTCATCTCAAGGTTTGATGGGGAAGGATATATTTCTAAGCTTATTCATGTGGTGGTGGTTGTCAAGATTCAGTTTCTTACAGGTTGTTGGACTGAGGGCTTCGCCTAAGTGCTGGCTGTTGGCCAGAGGCTGCCTTCAGTTTCTAGACATGTGAGCCTCGCCATAGGGCAGTTCAGAAAATGGCAGCTGGCTTCATCAGAGAGAGTAAGCAGGAGATGCTGAGAGTTTGGGGAAAGGTCGAAGATGCAGACTTTTATAACCTAATCTCAAACGCTTATGCCCTATTCGCTTCGTGAACAGCGAGTCACTAGGGCCAGCCCACACTCAAGGGGAGGGGAGTACACAAGGGTCTGAACATTTAGAAGCCATCGGAGAAGCTGCAAAGACAAGGTGGTTGGATTTGACCTAAGTCTCTCCCAGGTGGCCCCTGAGAGGACATTGTCAGGAGGGTGCAAGAGGAAGAAGACAGAATGGAGACAAGCGATGATACCCAAATCCCAGCTGTCCCCAGCTCCTCAGGGAGACATGGACACACTCAGGGCTTCCACCCCCTTTCTGTAGACAGAGCCCCCACCAGTTCCCAGAAGACCCCAACTCAGTCGTCTCCCTAGGTTTGCTTCCTCCAACCATGCAAGCCGACAACACCTGGCTCACCATCTCTATTTCACCATCTCCAACACCAACTCGTCACTGAGGCACAGGAACCTTTTCAGTGCATGGGAGGACGGGAACCAATTCCATAACCCTTTCTACACTCCAGGACTGGCACCGTCCGAGCTGCTGCAGCCAGTAGCAACCAGCTCCCTGTCCCATCTAGAGAGTGATCTCCCTTCCCCTGCTGAGCCTGGCCAGCAACCTGGGCTGTTTTCCTGTCCCACCTCCAGCTTGGGTCTGTCTGGCTCAGAGGTAATGGGTCCGCTTATGGGAGGAACACAGAGCGGTGCTGAGAAGGTAAGCGTCAGGGAGGCAGCAAATGGAATGAAGGGGAAACCAAGGGACAAGGCTGGGGCTAGAGACAGATATTTTGGGAGATTCATAAGAGAATCACAGGTATCACAGCTCAGTCCACATGGCAGATGTGCAGGTGTAACTATTTTTGGAAGTCCCGTTGGGACAAGGGACATGCAGAATAACAGCCCCTAAAAATATTCACATCCTAATCCCTGAACCTGTTAGGTCACATGACAAGGGGAATCAAAGTTGCAGATGGAATTAAGGTTGCTAATCAGTCGACCTAGAGATGGGGAGGTAACCTGGACTATCTGGGTGGGTCTAATGTAATCACAAAGGTCCTTAGAAGTAGAGGAGGGAGGCAGAAAGGTTGTGTCAGAGGAATGCGACGTGAAAAGGACTAAACCCGCCATTGCTGCCTTTGAAGACAAAGAAAGGGGCCACTAGCCAAGGAATGTGGGCAGCCTCTGCAAGCTGGTAAAGGCAAGGAAATGAACTCTTAGGGCTTTTAGAAAGGACCACAGCCTTGCGGAAAAGCCCTCTCCCCTTTTATCTTCCCCCTCTGCTCCATTCTGTGGCCTGAGCCTAGGGAACTGAGGGCAGCCTGGTCCAAGGGTTGGGCGATCTGGATTCCAGCTGCCTCTAACTTGCTCTTTGACCCTGAGGAGTCATTTTTTCCTCACTGGGCCTTAGTTTTATGAAACATGGGCTTAGTAACAGGCTCCTTGCCACCTTCCTGGTGTGGTTGAATCCAGACCACACACATAGGGATGCTCAAAGGCTAAGGAAATCCTGAGGCCCACTTTAGGGCCCTGGCCCCCACTCCAGGTCTGATTCCTTTTGCACCTTTATTCCAACATAAGATCAGGGCAAGGGATGATAGAAATGCCCCCCCCCCCCGCCCCGCCCAGGATCTGGCAGGGGCTTGGAGAGTGAAACCCCTTGTTAAACAAAAGAGGGACAGAAGATCAGAGAAGTTAAGTAAGTTGCTGAAGTCCACACAGTGAGTTGGCGCCGAGCACTAAACTCAGGTTGACATCCAGCTAAGGCATTTCCTCAGGCCGGGGTGGGGGTAGGAGGGGTGGGGAGAGTCTCCCTCAAGGAAACTTTAGTCCCAGGATGGTGTTGGGATAAAGGCAGGGGCTCTGCTTCCCTTGCCCCGATCTTATGTTGGAATTCAGGCAGATGTGGATTCAAGTGCCAGCCTGGCCACTCACCAGACGTTGTGAGCTTGTGAGTACTCTCCGGAGCGATGATCCTGCCTGATTCATTGGGTCGTTGGGAGAATTAACTGAGATAATGCTGAGGGCCTATTACAATGCCTGGCATGTAGCAAGCACTCTACAAACATCAGCTAACAGTACTTCTATTAATTGCCTCCCCCACTTCTCTCTATCCCATGTCTCATAAGGAGAGAGAGGAATGAGGACAATTCCCTCCAGATGACAATGTTTCCAATGGTCTTTCAAACTGAGCTCTCATTAGGTCCTAATCACAAACCTGAAGTCACAGCTACTGTTGTGCTAATTTTAAGGATGATGCCACTGAGGCACAGAGAGAGGTCTCTTGGCAAGTCAGTGGCTGAGTGGGACCAGACCTGGACGCCCAGCTCCACTCTGTGCCCACGTGGAGTTCCCCAGAGGGGCCAGGGCTCCTCCGTGCCCATGAGAATGGCTGAGGCAGTGGACCCAGGCTTCTCTGCTCACCTGTTGCCATGCAGCATATGGACATTTGGGTTCACAGCTCTGTCTCCGGACAGGTCCAACTCTAACCCTGTCCTTGCAGTATCCTCCCCCACAGTATCCCAGGATCACAGCATCTAAGAAGCACTCAGAAAACCCACCTGCCCCCAGACATCTTGAAATTTCTTTACTTAGAGACCAAGCCTTTCATTCCACAATAATGAATTATCAGGGGCTGGATGTGACATGTAGCCCTGAGATATTGGGGGCCATGAACAGGGCAGGAGAACAGTAGAGAAAGAAAGGCTTGTTGGGGGGGACTTGGAGCATGGGAGCCAATTTTCCTTACCAAAACCGGGGTTCACATGTTCTTGAGGACAAGGAAACTAGGAGGAAGTTGGAATTAAGAGGGAAAATAGAGGCTGGGTGTACAGCTATACCAGAGACTCCTCGGTTTACCCCCAGCACAAGTTACTTTACCTCAACACTCAGGGATTCCAGGGTTTGGGGCCTCTCACTCAGTGACTGGTAGAAAGAACATGACTTAGCTCCTGGAGTGGCTGCTGGCTCTGCCAGGACTAATTTGGGTGCCTGAGAAGCAAGTCCTCTCTCACCACCATGGTGGTCTTAAGCAAAGTGGCTCCCCACAACCCCCTGAGCCCTGACTCAGCTGATTTCCTAATTTGTAGGCTAACATAGAATAGACCTTCCCTTCCCAGCAGCCAGCCCCGAGCAAGGCCCATGGAGTCGCCCTGTCTATTTCCCCCCTGACCAGGCACATCACCTCACAGTTTCCAGAGCTAGTTTTTTTCAGAAAACTCGAGTTTCTTCTTCACCCGCCAGGGAGAGGCCTGGACCTGTATTTCTAGTTCTCACAATTCCTCTGGTGCTAATCAGACCAGAATCTTATCTCCCTTCTCAGATGATTTTGGTGGCATACCTCGGCCTTTCCGTTCTATACCCCCCTGACTCCCACTGATTTTTTGGCCACTGATGAGAAGGAGGGCCAGGTGGTAGATAAAGAACCTAAGGGGAGATTCTCCTTTGTATAAAATTAATACGTGACATCCAAATGATATGTAATATATTTTTAAAACCATATTTCTTGGGCTCTTGTGAGGAATCTGCTGTCCTGGTCACAAATCTAACCTGGTACTTGGCACATAGTAGGTGTTCAAAAAAATGAAAATTTACCTTCCCTACATTCTCCCCTCCTCCACCTTCCACATATTGGGAGTGCCAAAAACACCTGGACTTTCCAGATGTCAGGCTGCTCTCCTGCCACCCCAGCCTAACCGGACCCCTCCTCCTGAACAAACCACTTCTACAGAGGCAGGCAGGCAGCAACCGAGGGCCTTATTGAGGGCCTTTGAGTGACACAAAGGAAAAATCCACCTTGAGCCAAGCAGGTCTTCAGTGTCCCCAGAGAGGATACTCTTCAGGCCTTTTTCCAAATAGGAACAAAGACCATGAATTGAATAATGATTATTTCAGTTCTGTGCCCTGACCAGGTGAGGTAGAGCAAGGTTGATGGTCAGGCCTATTCAGAAAGCGGGGAGCTGAAGACACCTTGGCTGTCAGACTTGGCGGTCTGGGTGCAACGCCAGCAGCCTGGGCTCTTCCTTGTACCTCTGGGCCACTAGCTGGAGGTGGAAAGCAGCCCTTGCACCCCCGCCCCCCGTCCGACCCCGTCCCAGTGACTGGGGACCAGGGAAAGGGTGCTACCCCCTCTCCACATCTCATCTGTTTAATGGAGTTTGGGTTGGGCCCCAAAGAGTTGCTATTGAAGCATTTAAAAACACTACTGTGTCACTTTTCTGAGCTACTTTTCCTCATCAGACCCATTCTTCTGGTCAAACAAGGATAATTTACAACAGAAATTAGAGGAAAGTTGTGGGAAAACTCACTTGAGCAAACAGGTTAAAAATCGATGTTGACAGCTCCTCAGCGTCTCCGCCCTGCACGACCCCACAGTGGCCCCTATTCGGTCTGACCGATGCGGGATGCGGAGCCTCATCTCCACGCGCCCTCCGACTCCGCCAGGTGAGCCGCCTCCGACTGGCAGAGAACTCTCTCCACAGGCGCAGCATTTGCACTCCTCTACCTCCAGGTGGCGCTGGGCTAGGGGCGGAACGTACTGTCTGTCATTCATGTGGGGGCGGGGCCTTAGAAATACTGACTTCTGATTGGTTGAGCTCAGTTTCGCTTTCCTTCTGAGTCCAGAGCGGGTCTTACGGAGAACATCCAGTCAAGGTGCCCGAGTTACTCGAGAGTGTGTGAGTGAGTGAGTGTGTGAGTGAGTATGTGTGTGAGTGTGTGCGTCTGTGTGTGTACGCGCGCGCACGCGTTAATTTTTTTTCTTTACAATTAAAGTTGTTGCCATTTTTTATACCTTTATAAGACCTCTTAAATTTACACACCGGGAAAAATTCTTGGTCGGGCTTATTTATAAGAAATACATTGTTTATTTATAAGGGAGCTAAGGTTTAAGGTCTGCTACTCTGCCAGACCTTTTTTCATGTTTCCTTAGGTTGGTGGATGTGTATTACCAACATACTTGTATCATGGGTGTATTTTACTTGCACATTTGACAGCAGTTAAGCTTCCACTTTCTGCCAAACATTGGGCGGGGTTTGGTGGAGTCTATGGTGAGCAAAACAGACCTGGCCTTAACCTCAAGGAGCTCACAGACTTGCATCAGCAATTGCACACGTGTCCAATGAATTGTGACAATGAGAAGTGGCTAGTTCCTTGAGAGAGGGGCGTGGAGATTTGAGGAACTGCATTACTGAGTGCCGGGCAGCGCAGCCACTTCCCCAAAGAGTGCCATGCTGAATTTAAACTGATGTAATTTCAGAAACCTGGTGGACTCCCTTGTGAGGGTGGGGAAGCTGTGGAGGTGGCATAGGAGATTTGAGGCGGTTTGGGGAATACCCTGGGGCAGCAAACGTGGGCTACCCAGCCTTCTGTCTGGTTGGTGTGGAAGAAAGCCGTGGAAAGGGTGTAATTTCCAGAATATTCTTTTCTTGCTCCAGACGGAAAACCACCTTCTGGGACTGGATGTGAGAGAGGGACTTTAAACTTTGTCACTGGGAAAAATGGCCAAAGAATTAGTTTGAGGCTGGATTAGCTGCTGGGAGAGGCTGACCCCGGTGGCTGGCAGCGGTGGGACATGACCCAGGGAGTCAAACAGCTAGGGCAAAAAAGTTTGTCCTCAATTGAAGACCTACCTACCAGAGCGAATTCCTGTTGCTTATAATTTTTTCTTTGTTCACCTAAAAAGCTGCCAGTTACTGCTCAGTAGGAGCAGAGACACTGAAGAGCTCACACAGCACCCTCCCCAGATGATTCACTCTCTAAACCTTCACGGGAATTTTTCCCCTGAGCATTTACTACCCCCTGCCATTACACAATCATTTATTGTCTATCTCCTGCACTAAAATGCAAGCTTCCTGAGGATGAGCACTTTGTCCTTCTTTGCTGTATCCCCAGGGCCTATATGTCTGGCACGTAGTAGGTGCTCTATAAATATCTGATGAATGAATGGAGCAGATTCTTCTTGGTCTATAGAGAAACCGCCCTCGGTCTACCTGGCTATGCGTGGGTATCTCCCGTGAAGGCTAATGTGTTCTGAGCTGACTCTCCATAGTCTTGGGCAAACCAGCCTCTTTGTGCTGAGAGAAGGCCGAGGCAAGACCCTGGTGTTTCAGAAGCTTAAAAAATCTGCCTCATGCAGAGAGCAGTTAGTCACCAGGAAGGAGTGTGCATGTACTTGGTCGGGGGTGGGGGGACGGTGAGGTCTGTGAGCTGGCCATCCTCCACCCCCAGAAGCAGTTTTTCCTGTGATGTAAAGTCCGCAGTAGGGGCAGAGGTTTGACTCAGTGCTCTAGACCCCACTCTCTGATCTCTGAAGGTGGCCCTTCATGTGCCTGCAGGGGAGATGAATCCCAGGCCCCAAACCTGAGCAGCTTTCACTGGCCCTAGGGAGACTCCAATGGGGTGACTCTGAGCCACCTGGCACTGGGCATGGGGCTTGCCCTGGCAGTACCAGGTTCCTCCAATTCTGTCTCGCCTATGAGTCCAGAAAGGGCCTATGAGTCCAGGAAGGGCCAGGCCAGTGGAGCTCGGCTGGCCACCTTTGCCTGAGGTGGAGGGGCCTGAAAAGGCAGCACCTGCAGTGTCCAGTGGGTCAGTGTACTTAGTATCAGACGAAGGAAAGTGATAGCTATTGATCATTTGATGTGTGCCAAGCACTTTTTCAGATGTCTCGTGTGTTTTAATACAATCCATTAACAACCATGTAGGTTAGAATTCTTTTCATTTTATAGGTGCAGAGAATAAGGCATGACCCGTCTGAGGTCACAACCTAGACAGGAGCAGCAACAGAATTCAAATGCAGGCATATCTGCACAACTACCACCACCACCCCCGAACCCATGCTTGGTCTACTGTATCCATGCTGCCCAAGAAGACAGGGGTGGGGACGGGGAGCCCAAGGAAGGCCTCCCCAAGGAATAGAACCCCAGCCAGGCCTCTGAGAGAGAGAGGATGGGGCAATCTAAGAGAAGAGGGCAGGGCCTTCGCTAGTGAGGCCACTTGGGAGCAAAGACACAGGCAGAAGAGTTGCCTTAGCGAGGGACTTGGAAGGTGCAGGCTCTCAAGGAGAGGGAAGAGAAAAGATTCAAAAAGATAAACTAAGGCATGAGATGGCAGGTCTAGGCCAGGTCTGGAAAGGTCCTGGGGAAGCCTGGGGCAGCCTGAGGCGCCTCAGCAGGACTTGATGACTTGGGATCTACTTGGAACAGAGGGCAGGAGTCATACATGTGAGTACCTTTCAGGAGCTGGGCCTGTCGCATCCATGGACAGGTGAGCTGGAAGGCAGTGAACAGAGAGCAGAAGCAGAGGCATGCAGGATGCTAGAACTGAGAGTTGGAACAAAGGTTTGGGACTTAAACCCCCCACTTCACTCCCCCCACCACCGTACCCCAAAACCCAGTGAAAGGCTCAAGACTTTAGGCAGCTAAGAAAACACCATTTGGGCAGCAGGCCTGGGTGCAAGCATTGGCTCCTCTCTTATTTGAGACGTGATCCTTACCACCCCCTTTAGCCTCTTCGAGTTTTTTCTACAGATGGCTACCCAGCCCTTTGCATCATCTTAAACCACATGTTCATTAACTGCACTGAAAATCAGTCTTTTACTCATATTTGTTAGGAACCATCTACACAATAATTAGGTTCTAATCTAAGTTTCATCTCCTGGCCAGTGCACCTTCTGAGTCACCATACGTTTGCTCACTCTATGTGAGCAATTGGCACCCTCTCTATGTCCAACACTCTCTCTTTTAGCTCCTTTTGCCATGTTTCAGGTTGGTAGGTGTGTGTAGGAAGGTTTATACCCTGTCTGAGGGTTCCCAACTGGTGACATCCTCAGTCACTGCCAGAGTAGAAAATTGCTTCATGTGGGCCAGGGTGACTGGACTGTCTGCCCCCTACCTCGTAAGCGCCTCCACACAGGAGCTTGCTCTTAGAGAACCTGAGGGGACCAGTCTCCTTTGGAGGACAGCATCTGGCTGAGGAGCTTCGGCTTTGGGCTGTGGGTGCAGGTGGGGGTGGGTGGGGTCATTCAGGTAGGCAATTGATGGTAGGTGGATTTTTCTTTTTTTTTTTAAGTGATAATATGGTAACATTGTTTGTAAACTTTGTTCAGACACCATTTTAGCATTTCATAAGTGTCGACTGATGGGCAGAAATTTTATTATCTATGTTATATCTGTCTATATTTAATAAGTCATAAGACACTTTAGGTATTTGTCCATAAGCACTCATTCTAGACACCAGGTATGTTGGAGAACATAGTATTACATGTTGCAAGAAAACCTAAAGAAATCTGTCACCATCCTCGCCTTCAAGGAGCTTACAGTCCATTCAGGAAGATGAGAAGAAATCATGTTAATAAGGTCCAAGTTTCAGGGTCCTCTGTGTTAACTGAATGGAGACACAAATGTTTCAAGGAAGGTGAGCATCTAGGCCGGGTGGATGCTAACTTCATGATTGTGACAACATTGAAGCGTCTCCTCATACTCTTCCTCAGCTACTTGTTTCTCTAACATGACCTCTCTCCTTTCCTGCTTGTAGCCCAGGGCCATCCTGGAGAGTCACTACTACCACCTTCATATGAATGAGGTGGCCCAAGGTCATGTCTGCCAGGAACACCATCATTTGGCATTTACCTAGGCAAATTTTACATTGACCGCTGCTGAGCAAAACAGAGCCATCCACATATAGATTTGGGGTGTGGGGCTTTTGCCACTGGAGTTCCCCCTGAGTGCGATGGCGGCAGAAGTCAGAGACAGCAGGTGCTGGGAGCAGCTGACTGGGGCCAAGGGGACTGTCTCTGACTCAGCATCGAAGCCCCTCTCCAGTCCTTCTGTCCCAGAACTCTAGCTCTGCATAGAAGCAGCACGGTAAAGGGGATGGAATAATTGTGAGTGTGGAAGCTTTCTCACAAGTCTGTGCTTCCCAGAAACTCATCTGTCGTAGCTCTTAGTAAAAAGGTTGGTTCTCCTCAGTCAGAGCGAGGGCCTATGTGGGCTACTGCTTGAGAATGGCCAGAGGCATTCTCTGGCTGAGGCTTCGGAGGATGCAAGGACACCCCTGGGGAGTAGGAAAGAGGCTGACAGTTCTGTGCCCTTAGTGGACCCCAGAGCAGCTGCCCCAGGACACACAGGCCTGGTCGATGAGAGAGGCTGGCGTCTGAAGGTCTTCAGGTCTTTAGCAGACTTGTTGCCATAGGGAAATTGTGGGACCAGTATAGCCAGATAGATTCTTTCTCAGAGAAGCTATAAACCTGGATCTTTTCTGTGAAATCTCCTGATATTTCACCATTTGCAACCCATTAAATTGTTTTAAAAACACCTCCTGGGCCAACGAAAATAAGATCGGGCCACTCGTTTGTTATACCCTCCGATTTAGACCCAAACAGCAAACAGAGTGTCTGCCTCTTTAGTCCGAATGGTAAAGACACGGCCGCTGTGGGGATGTG